GGAGTAGTGTGCTTCAGTAGGTTATTTTTGGCCGTCTCCAGAATCTTCGGCTGATCGGTTGGATAAGTGGAGCTGTTTCGCCATCCTTTCTGAAGGCATTCACAACACGTTCCCAAACCATCACAGCTGCGACTTCTCAATCTGCAGAAGCAGCGGTTGCACACCAACCACTTTCAAATATCTGCTGTATGAACCATGTCGAAAGGCTTGAACCCAGAGATTTGTCTCAAAAAGTCCACATCTGCCGCTTGCACCGGAGATCGACGTTTTTCAGTGATGGCCCACGAATAATGACTACGGGTGAGCAAATGGATGCGAATCGACTTGAACAGAGAGTGCTTAGTTTTCAGACTCACTCTGCTTTACTGACAAGGGTTATGTTTAATTCACGGATGATGCGGCTGACCGTTTCAGCTTGCTGATCGATCGCTAATCATTTTCTCATCATTGATAAGTATATGAGAATTTATCTATCATCTATACTCTTTCTCTGTTTATTAGCAGAGATCAGGCATGAGAAGGAGAAAACACGACGCTTTTCGTTTTAGACACGTTGACACGCCTTCCGGTCATGTCTCATGCTGAAGCGCTGGAAAACCGCTTTGGGAGATTGCAAGAAAGCAGGATTGGGTCAGGCACTTGTGTTCTCGTTATTATATGTCCTACGCTGACAAACTCATCATCCTAGCCGAGTCAGATTTTCCTATCCATGAATTATCTATAACAGAAACAGAAGAAAGGCCAGAAAGCAGCCTTTGGGGAGACCACTGCCAACGTTGAAAGTCCTCGACTCAACTTCATTTACTCTGACGCAGAATCCGTTACTAACATGTAGTAAGATGATGGCTTGTAGCAACTGGCTACTGATTCCATATGTTTCAAGACGCGCCGACGTTGTGTTGTGTGGGATCCCGTCAGGGGTCTTCTCAGATCAACACAGTACATGCAAAGTTGATGAGCGATTTCTCAACAAACTGTCCTATGGCGAAGATCTGCTCTTCCTGAAGTCATACTCTCTTCTTGGATCTTGGAGTATCTTACTACGCTGCCCCCTTTCTTTGGTGCTTTTCTTAGACTTCGTCATGAGGCTCGCCAAGGCGATGCACAGGCTGTTGGAGCAATCCCCATGGCATCATTTCTGCAACAGGGTTGCAACCCCCGCAAATCGTCAACCAATCTTCGTCTTCACCGCAGCCGCTACAGTTTTGCAGATTTTCGTAGGCCATGACATACCTTGTTCGTCTAAATCTTTACGCATAACATGCGAGATTTATCGACGCTACCAGCCTGGATAAATTTGAGGCTGCTTATAGCTTCTATGACTTTCTCTAATCAAAAACCGATATCCGATGCATAGTGCGCATCAGGCGAGTCTTTTTGTGGTTGTTTGGGATTAAGAAGTTTCTCGTCGTACTCCCTCCAGATCAAAGTATGTCATCTTACCGGGTAAGAACAAATCGCGGTCTTGTTCTTGAAAAATTTGAGACTGTTGGTCACCATGAAAGAACAGACCTTTCTTGATAAACCCAAACTTTTCATGCAAAGCAATACTGAATTATTCTGCAGTGAATAAGTCCGATATATCAAACATAGTCATCACTTATGCGGTTCATGTTCGACCCCACAAATGACAACGGTTTTCCATTTATGCAGTGAATGATTTAATATTACGAATTAGTAGCTGCACCAAGTTATTCCATCCGTGCAGCGTCGATCATTATTATAATTGTTGAGTGGTTAGCATTCGACAAATTCACATCAACGAGCCCTAAATCGTTGCAAAAAATGACCACTAAGAGTGGACTTGACGTTGTCCATTTGACGCCCTATAAATCCCGACGCATAACCTGTTAAAAGTATATGAAAAAGTTCGAACCTCGTTCTGGCGACGCGCGCAAATTCGGCGGATCAGTCTCAGATTGCATATCATTTACAGTAACCCCTGAATCATGTTTACTCAGCAGCGACGAGCGCTGTCGAAAGATGTCACCGTCCAAGTCGTGAACCCTCCTTTGCACCTGCCTCCACGAGCCACGTTGCTCAAATTCATCTCAGAGTGTGGAATCTGGCGACCTGTACGTCGCACGTTTCTATCGCAAAAGCTGTCCTGTTCGCTCTACGAGAAGAACAACCACCAAGAGGTTGTGCCGTATTCTTAATCCTCTATTGTTTTTCAATTACTCGAGCGTGCGATTTCATAATTTCTGAAGGACATCTTTTGCTCCCGAAGATATTTTAGGTTATTTTTAGTCAAATATCGTTATCGTTCAAAATGGTGGGATGGCTGGACGGAAACCGTTGCATGGCCAATGGAGAAGGAGTTTTACACGGCGATCAAGCAGTCTTTAAAAGTGTTCTAAGCGAGACACCAAAATAACAACAACACCTAAAAGTCTGAAATACCTCAATGGTTATATACGTAAAACTATGAAAAAGAGATATGCTCTAGCGGAAAGAACATGCAGATGAAACTGAATTGACTAAGACACTAGATATAGTTGCATACTGTGTAAGTGAAATATGTATATTTTTAATTGAGCGAGAAAATTCTGATTGAAGAAGTTGATGTTCAACGGACTGTGATTTCACAGGATTTAGACACAAGGAAATGGATGTTATTAGACCTTTTGCCGAACAACATTTATTTTCCTGATGGTACACGGACCATTTTTTGAGCGTCAGTGCGGTTACTGACCTCATGTTTATTTCTTTGTGTGTGAAACCATTTAACTGACAATTTACTGAGGAAGAATATACACAATTAATATACACAATTTCAGAAGGAGAAACGAAAATTTATATAATTTTTAAATAATCGAACCAGTAACTATTCTCGGCTCCTCATAATGGAGGATTTTTGATTTAGTACCTGAAAACATTCGAGTGAAATGGAAATGAGGCATTGGTTGGTCTTGTTCGTTGTACTTTCCATGACTTCAACAATGTTGGTAGGCATCTTTCTAATTATTAAAACGTAATATTTTGATTTAATTCAGGAGTGCATTCTTTGTCGCACTCAATGCCGGAAGAGAGACTTGTCACTAAATCACCGCATTCTATTCGGAATGCACACTCTTCCCAACTCTCAGCCATCTGTGGTGCATGTTTCAGCAAATGGTTCCTATTTTACTGGATTTCTGATCTGTGTCGAGGGATTCGAAAACAAGACATTACTCTTAACCGTCCAACGAGGGTTGTTGAATAGGTCTGTGCTGCTAATTACTCGATAACCGCTAAATGCATCACTTTCTGACACCCTGTCCAATAATTCGTGTTTTCTAAATCTGCTTCACATTTCATATTTATTTCCTCAAACGGAATGGTAAACCGTGACATAGAGTTCATTTTTTGAATTATCGATTTTCTTAAAAACTGTACATTACTATAGAGGTAGGAAAAAATTTGATTCCAGATTTTAACGCCAAAGATGTATAGTTAAAAAAGAAAATAGACGTTCCACTTTACACCGATTCTGCGGAAGTGTGAGATATGGAATTGTCACACCTAGTAATACCACATCCTGCATCGACCCATCTCCTCTAGATGCGCAGGCGAACCATTTAAGCAGCCCGTGGCTCCGTGACATTTAAGCCTGCAATGTACAAGACGCAAGACCGCCTCTTTGAACGAGGTTCAGCAAATGAATGTTGTAATCCTAAGGCCACGATCCGTGTTCCAACAAGTGGATAGCATAACAGCGATATTCTTGAGTACATTTCATGAGTGGAGCTTTCGATGCCGCCGTTCATACATAAAATTAAGAATTAATATTCCGGATTTTAATATAGAAAACCTACGGAAAGCAATGAACTTGGAAGGGCACATGTGACTGATTGCGTTGAGAAACGAGAGTACAATGAAACATTCTTGTCGTTCCCATTCGGTCTTTATCATAGACCATCGCAGTCAGCAAAGCGCACTTGAAAATCAGCCCTTAGAGTCTCATGGACAGCAATTTACTGTAGGCTGATCCGCCATGTTCCCTTTTTATGTTCATGGGCAGATCTTAATTAATCAAAACAGATCACGGTCAGCGCAAAAACAGGCTTCGATTAAATTCTTTCTGCATGGCGACTACCCCTTGAAGGAACCGTAAGACATTCTTTAATCAAAAAGTCGGTAATTTCTCCTGTCAACATCATCAGTCGCTCTTTGAAGAAAACTCAAGAAGGTTGGTGACAGCAGTCGAGGTGCTTCACCTGCCCAAGATGTAAAACTGTAAATATACAAATACTGTGTAGATTTTGTGAACAGGCTCGGGTCGCAAAATTTCTGTGCATTACAATGATCCATAAACAATCTGTGAGCAAAATCGATCGCCCGC